AGGAGTGAGCTATATATAAAAAGCAATGGGCAAGTTCCAGTTCCAATATTCAGACTGTCATCAGATAAAAAGTCTGCGTTGTTCAACTGGGTGGCTTCAGAAGTGAAGTTCCCTGATGGGTATGTTTCAAATCTCTCAAGATGTGTTGAATAGGGCAAAAGTTCTCCGGGATGAAGAGCCATGATTGTCATGTCTTCATGCAGCGACTACTTCCCTTTGTGTTTGCGGAGCTACTACCGACAAAAGTACATGAAGCACTTTCAGGTAATTAATTAATATAATACGATGATATGATTAATTTATTTCTGTATACATATATATATACTAATGTGGATAATGTTTGTTTTTGTAAATATATAGGAATTGGAGCATTTTTAGGGATCTGAGCACCCGCACTCTTAAAGTGGAAGTTGTCCAACAACTTCATGAAAACATCTCTATCTTAATCTGCAACTTGGAAAAATATTTCCGCCTACTTTTTTCGACGTCATGGAACACCTAGTTGTCCACCTCCCGTATGAGGCATTATTTCGTGGACCTGTGCATTATGGATGGATGTATCAGTATGAAAAGGCCATGAAAACTTTGAAAGGAAAATGCAAAAATCTAGCAAGAGTAGAAGGTTCTATTGTTGCGGGAAGTTTAATGGAAGCAACATCACATTTCACATCGTACTACTTTGCACCGAAAGTACGTACAAGGAAACGAGCTCCAAGAAGATATGATGATGGTGGTGTCGTGCCGACATATATGGAAGACGATGTTCTAGACATCTTTTGTCAAATTGGGCGATTGGGTGGGAAATTGAAAGAGGTTTGGTGGTCGAGTGATGAAGACGTCCATAGTGCACACCTTTATATTCTTCTTAATTGCGAGCATCCATTGATTGCTTATTTTGAAAGGTAAATATTTAATTTCACACACTTATATATATATATATATATATATATATTTCAATATTAAATCTATAACATAACATATATGATTTTACAGCAAATTTGTGACTCAAGTCGAGGAAGCAATACTTGGTATATCGACACCTGAGTTAGACAAAAGGAAAGATCAACACTTTATCAAGTGGTTGAGGAAACAAGTATTTATTATTACTTAAATTTTATGCATGTACATTACCACAAAGTAAGTCTAATATGTCTAGTTATATTACTTTTTGTTGCAGGTTGATTATGACGATCCTCAGTATCCCGCATGGTTTCGCGAATTACTTCAAGGTCCAGTTGCAAAGGTCACTACATCATCGATGTATTTCACCCGAGGCTATACTTTTCATACCTATGACTATTGTAGACACCGGGCGACAAGTAATTATGGAATATGTGTGAAAGGCGAAACAAATTTCTACGGGATCTTGCAGGAGATTTATGAAGTTCAATTCCCAGGTATCAGTTTGAAATGCGTTATCTTCAAGTGTGAGTGGTACGACCCCGTCGTCAACATAGGTGTTAGGATTAACAAGAATGGTGTAGTTGACGTCAATGGTGGACGAAGGTACAACAAATTCTTTTTTGACATACATACATGCATGTTCTGAGAACTAATAATTTCTTCGTTGTCTTAATTTTTGCAGGTACAACAAATTCGAGCCTTTCATATTAGCTTCCCAAGCAGATTAAGTTTGCTTCATTCCATACCCTCGGATTACTACAACAGGAATAAACTGGTTTGCTGTTATCAAAGTGACACCTCGAGGACGGATAATCAAGGGAGAAGAACCACCATTGCAAGAAGAAAACACCAATGAAATCGAGGAACCTGAAGCAGAAATTGATGACATCCTACTCATTGACCCGCATAATCGTGAATATGAAGATGTCCCTGATCACTCAACGGACGACGGTATTGAGGACGAGTTTGTCGAAAATGATGATGTTTCTACGGATTATGAGAATGTATCCGAATGAATTATGTATGTTTTATAAGTTTGTTTAATCACAAAAACCAATTTCAATTATGTATGTTTTATAATTTTACTTAATAACAAAAAATGAGTTGAATTACGTATGTTTAAGCTTGTTTAATCACAAAAAATGAATTTGGGATTTAAGTGTAGAAGAGGTTAGGAGTTTAGTTGTAGAAGAGGTTATAAGTTAAGGAAGTTGTGGTTTGGGGTTTGGGGTTTCGAGTTTAGGGATTTACAAACCCTTTCCTCGTAAAGCCCTAGTAATAGAAAACACGGGCATAGCTATTTCCTCGTAAGTATTACTAGGACTTTACGAGGAAAAAAACACGGGCATAGCTATTTCCTCATAAAGATGTTTCCTCGTAAATTCCTAGTAATGTTATTTCTAGGACATTACTAGGACCTTACGAGGAAATAAAAACACGGGCATAGCTGTTTCCTCGTAAAGCCCTAGTAACATTATTAGGGCTTTACGAGGAAACAAAATTCCTTATATATACACGAGCAATCCGAGCTCTCAATCATAGTAACCTCCTCTCCAAATTCTCTTAAGATACTCTCTATTTCCTATTTAGGTAATTAGATTAGGGAATTTAGATTAGGTGGTTAGATTAGGGAATTTAGATTAGGTGGTTAGATTAGGGAATTTGATTAGGTGGTTAGTTTAGGAAATTTAGATTAGTTGGTTAGATTAGGAAATTTAGATTAGGTTAGTTTAACTGTTTTTAAACATTATACAAGAATTAATGTTTTCTGTTTTTTTTTTTAAATTTAGATGGTTAGAAAGAGCAAAGTTGCTGCTGCTCAGTCCAGGAGGCCTCTTGATGATCAGAGGATTCACTATGGAGATCTATTCGGGCCCGGTTCGTCTTCGTCAGCTCCCGGTGGTTCATCTGCGGGAGTTCCCGAGACTCGGGGAGGTTCTACGGCATCCCGGTCTCAGCAGCCACCACCTCCTCCTTCTCCTCCTCCACCGGTCGGGATTCATCCTGATTTGCAGGTGCCGCCGAACGCACCATTTGCGGTGTACACGGTGGAGGATATTTTAGCCCTTCCAGGCAGAGAAGGGCTGCCAGAGTTAGATCTTATCCGACGGGACGGCCAAAACGTGTTATGGTACGTTTTAATTTTTTAAAATTTTTATTAATTTTTAAAAAGTATTATGGTATGTTCTAATTAATGATTTATTTTCTGTCTTTCCAGGTTTGGTCTTGACAATTGTGTCGGATCTAGCGTCACGGACTGTATCAAGGGATACTTTCCTGATGCAGCTCCAAACTGGAAGATGACGGCGAGCCACACCAAAAAGACGTGGTTCAAATCGTTCGCTGTAAGTTTAGTAAATTAACTTGATTTATTTTTAATCATTTAAAATTATGAATATTATTGAACTAATCTGTCTTTTATTTTTTCTGGTTGCAGCAAAAATATCGTTGGTCTATTGGGATTCACCAGCGGGTGAAGTCAGAGTTCGAGACCAAGGAAAAAGCACGATTGTGCGACATGGTCTACAACTGGAAGGGCGACTTTCAAGTATAAATTTATAAATTATAATATATGTATAGTTTTAAAAATTCTAATTATTTTAAATCAGGTGGACGGTTACGAGCGCGGGAAACCCGATTGCCTCACAACCACGGTGTGGGATGGCCTCATCAGCTATTGGGCGTTGCCGGATTCGATCAGAACCTCCCAAACAAACTCCGAGAACCGCATGACCACAAACGAGCATGGCAACACGAAGATGCTTCACACCACGGGCCGAAAACCTCACGGGGGAGTTCGTCTAGACGTGGTATTTTTTATAACTATTTAATTTTTACTTTATTGGAATATTCTAATATTCTAAATTAATATTTAATTTTAAAAAAAAAATTTAGGCTAAAGAGACAGGAGTTCTTCCATCTCTGAAAGACCTTTACGAGCGGACCCACCGGAAAAAGAGTGGGCAGTTTGTAGATCCTGCTTCCAAGCGGATCTACAACGAGGATGCTGCCCGAGTTGACGAACGCCAGACCCAGCTGACTCAGCAGACTGGGGCTCCGGTCGTATTATCCACTCTTGAAGTGGATAAGATTTACGAGGAGGTAAATAATTTGTTTTAATATATTAATTTTTATTATTTATTTAAATTTTCCTTACGTTAATTAATATTTGTATTTACAGGTCGTCCCTAGGAAAAAGGGCCGTATAGTCGGGATTGGCTCGGTTAACGATGTCCCCGCAGTGACATCGGCTTATGTTCACCAACAAGATGATGCCAATGCTCAGCTGCGGACGGAGTTGCAGGCGACGCAGTCTCATGTGAGTTCGCTCACCGATATCCTCGACATTATGGCGGTTGGAAACCCGCAAGTGGCGGAGATGTTGCGTCAGAGACGGGAAAGCGGAGCCCTTCCACCCCAACAGCCTCCACCATCTCCGTCACAGCCGGCATCTAACATTGGAGACGACGACTTCGTGCACCAATTTCAAGAGCAGCATCCCTTTTAGTTTTTTTAGTTTTTAATTGTATATTATGAATTTTAAAACTTATTAATTGTATATTATTTAGTTATTTATAAATATTTAGTTATTTATTTTTTTATTTATAATTTGGTTTTTTAAATTTTTTTAATATATATAATTTTTAATTTATAAATACTTTTTTTTTAAATAGGAAAAAATTATTTCGAAGCAAGATCCTCGTAAAGGTTTTGAAGTAAACTCCTCGTAAACTTTCCTAGCAAGTTCCTCGTAAAGGTCCTACTACGAGATTACGAGGAAAGAGTTTACTATGAGCTTACGAGGAAAGCCTACGTGGACCTTACGAGGAAAACGTATCCACGCGTTTACGAGGAAATGTTTCCTCGTAAATTAGTTAGGAAATTACAAGGAAAATATGCTTTACGATGAACGTCTTTCGACGAAACGCGTTTCCTCGTTATTTCCTACTAAAGGACCGTTTACTAGGAAATAACGAGGAAAACTCGTCTTAGTAAAGGACGTGTTTTCTTGTAGTGAAAAAACTCATAATCCCTTTTAATGGTATTGATGGACTTGTTATTCTGTTTAATCATATTGCGTGAATGGAGGATAATTATTAGTGAAGGTACAGAGATATATCTGAGATAGTAAATATATTAAGAAAAAATTAGGGTTAATTTTAAATTGTATTTCAATTTTAATAGTATATTTTTTTTTTGAACAACAAACTACTTGAATTAGATGATGGGTTTTAGGTCCATGAAGAGTACATGTTACAAAGAGAGGCCTTTGCTAAAGCATCAGCAAGCCCATTTGAGTCTCTAGGAACGAAAGAGAAATTGCAGAAAGTAAAGCAGGAGGATAGGTGCTCGATATCCGACAGTACTCCGTGGATGTGCTTCGGTTTGGTAATCGAGTTGCTGGCTTTGATTAGGCCAAGAGAATCTGAACGAAGCCAGATTTTTGAGTATCCAAGGTGGATTGCGTGAGAGAGAGCTGAGCGGACCGCTAAGGCTTCAGCTACAAGTGCCGATTGGACATGAGTTTGTGATTGGCATCCCTGTTGTGAAGGTGAGCCTTGTGAGTCGAATATCCATCCCAATCCAGCATTTTTCGTCGAAACATTCCATGCCGCATCGGAGTTACAAATAACAGTATTCTGCGGTATCAAGGTTGTTAGGTTTAAGAGGTGACTTTCCTTTGCTACAGTGGGGGTTTGTTCTTCTAGTTGTGCTGAGGTCCATTCCCGCTCCCCGGAGATAGCATTTGTAGCCACACTGATAGGAGAGGAGTGCCTTGATTCAAACACCAACTTGTTACGAGTCGTCCAGAGGAACCAGATCACCCAAGCAAAGATGTCGCCTGGAACGCCTGTTGGGGGGAGACAGGTCCAGTGTTTTGAAACTTCAAGCGCCGTTCTGAAGGAGGGGCAAATTGTGGAGTCAAAGCTCGTTTTCAGTGGTATCAAGTCCCATACTTGAGAGGCGAAGGTACAATGGAGGAAGAGGTGATCAGTTGTCTCGACATCACCACAGTGTGCACACATAGTGTTTGTTAACATGCCTCTTCTCTGCAGATTCTGTCCAGTTGGTATGGCTTCATGTAGGATTTTCCAGATGAGGAGCTTGAGCTTTGGTGTACAATCCACATTCCAGACCAAACTCCACCAATTCAAGGGTGTTGTGGTCAAAGGTTGTTCGGGGGGAAGAGAGTGCGTAGTAGCGGTCGTGTAGCCCGACTTGACTGAGTAGAGACCAGACTCTACAGGGTACCAGGTATAGGAGTCTTATGCCCTTGTCATACTTGGTCTGATTGCAAGGATTTCCTCCGACAGCTCAGGTAAAATCATGTTGATTTTATGTGTATTCCATTTACCAGTGTCTCCTATCAAAAGATCGGAAACATAAAGATCTGCATTGGCTTCACTTACAGGACCGAAAGGGATCATAGCCGTCTTTGATGAGATCCAGGGGTCACCCCAAACCTTTGTAGTAGCTCCATTTCCAATGACTTTACCCAGTTGTTTAATAAGGAGATCCCTACCAACAAGGACACCTCTCCAGCCGTGCGAGATCGAGTCTGTTGGTGTGACCTTGAGGAGGCTTGTATTGGTGCAGTATTTTCCTAAGAGGACACGAGAGAGTAAACAGGCTGGATTTGTCAACATTCTCCAAGGGATTTTTGCCAGCAGGGCTGTGTTAAAGCATTGGATATCCTTGAAGCCGAGACCTCCTCCACTTTTTGGTTTGGTGAGTGTATCCCAAGAAACCCAACACATCTTCCTCTTTCCATCATTTGAGTCCCACCAAAAACGTGTTAACACGGATTGAATCTTCTTGCACATGATTACCGGGAGTTGGAAACAAGACATGGGATATGTTGGAATTGCAGAGAGGACAGCTTGTAGCAGAGTTTGTTTGCCAGCCATAGATAGTTGTCTAGAAGACCATGACACTGCACGCTGGTGCATTTTATCTACAATGGAAGCAAATAAATCTCTTTTGCGTCGTCCAAAGTGTTCTGGTAAGCCAAGATACTTGCCTACTCCACCCTCTTTTTCAATTTTGAGGCATTGTTTCACTCGAGTCTTCACAGCGTTTCCTGTCCTAGAGGAAAAAGTTATCGCTGATTTCGCTGTGTTGATTTGTTGGCCAGAGGCAGTTTCATAGAGGTTTAGGATCTTCATTAGAGTTGAACAGCTTCTCTCATCCGATCTAATGAAGAACATGGTGTCATCAGCAAAAAGTAAGTGATTGATTCTGGGGCACTTTGTTGCAACTCGTATTCCTGTTAAAGATCCATTTTGTTGAGCTTCTGTGCATAAACCTGACAGTACCTCACTGCAGATAATGAAGATATAAGGTGACAATGGGTCTCCTTGCCGAATTCCACGGCTAGGTACCACTTCTCCAAGGACCGAATCATTTATCAGGATGGAGTACGTGACTGAGGAAATACATTGCATAATCCAGGTAATAAATTGTGTGTGAAAACCCAGTCTCAAGAACACCTCCTGAATAAAACTCCACTCTAACCTGTCATAAGCCTTGCTCATGTCTGTTTTAACAGCCATGGAGCAGTGCTTTTGTGCAGATGAAGTCTTGAGGTAGTGGAGTATCTCATGGGTGACAAGTACATTATCAGCAATGGCTCTCCCAGGTATGAAGGCAGATTGATTTTCCGAAATTACTGATTGTAGAGTCGGCTTGAGACGTAGAGCTAGTATTTTCGAGATTGCCTTATAGTAAACATTACAGAGGGCTATTGGCCTGTACTCTGATACTAGCTTAGGGATTTTTATCTTTGGAATGAGTCTGATAAAGGTTGTATTGATCGTTGCTGGCATACTCCCTGTTCTGAAGAAATTTTGTATTTCCTTGATGATTGCAGGCCCGACCGTGTCCCAGTTAGATTGGAAGAAGCTCGCAGAGAAGCCATCCGGGCCAGGGGCCTTATCAGGATGTATGGAGAAAACTCCAACTCTTATTTCCTCCGGTGTAGGGATTTGGATCAGTCGCTCATTCATTGTGGCTGTGATTGCAGGTTGCAGTGCTCTTTTCACCGTTGCAGTGCTGTCAATGTGAGTGGAGGTGAAGATCTTCTGGAAATAATCTGTAATGGTAGCAGCAATCTGCTCTTCCTCGTAGAAAACCTCTCCATTATCTCCTTCCAGCACTGAAAGTTTATTGCGTGCTTTTCGGGCTTTGGTAGCCGCATGGAAATACCATGTATTCTTGTCTCCCAGCGTAAGCCAAAGTTGCCTGCTTCTCTGTTTCCAGTATTCTTCCTCAGCTCTATAGGCTTGGATCAGAGCAAGGTTTAGCGTAGAGATGTTTTGCTCGTCCGCAATGGGCGCAGAGAGAGCCTTATCTAGTGCTTCCTTGAGGTTTTCGATGAGTTTCCTGCTGTTTAGGAACTGTGTCCTGCTCCAGTCAGATATTGCTTTTCTGCACATAGAGATCTTTGCGACAACAGTGGCATCAGGGTGAGCGTTCCACGTTTGATCCACAAGGTCTTTGACTTGTTGGTTTGATTGCAGTCTTCGGTCATACCTGAACATCTTTTTCGGTTTTTTCTTTGTAGGATCAAAGATGGTGAGGAGGGGTCTATGGTCCGATTCCTCGAGCTGTAGGTAGTGACATCTGCTGTGCGGGAAATTATCTGACCAATCACTATTGGCCACCGTTCTGTCTAGACGACAGTGAACAATATGTTTTCTTCGTTTACCTCTCCAGGATAAGAAGTTTCCTGTGTGTTGAACATCGAAGAGGTCACACTGGGATAAGAAACTTTGGAAAGGGACGAAGCTATTCTCTGACCTATCTGTTCCCCCCACCTTCTCACAGTTATCAATAATCTCATTAAAGTCACCGGTAAGCAGCCAAGGGCCCGGTCTCAGAGTTGGTATAGTGGTCAGCGTATCCCAGACATCTTGTCTCTTTCCCACCTCTGGTGCACCATAGGTGAAGGTAAAATTAAAGCTCTGGCCCTTGTACTCTGTAGTTGTGTCAATGAAGTTATGTCAAGCCTTAATGATGTTTATTTTAACACTGTTGTTCCACAGGAGTGCCAGACCTCCCCCCCCCCCATGACCATGTGGGGAGACCATATAGTGTGATTCGTAGCGAAGCTCCTCAAGTTCATGTAGTACGAAATTATCGGGGTTTTTTGTCTCCATCAAGAATAGGATATCTGGTGAGTGTAGCTTGTGGAGTTCCTTTAAACGCTGAACTGTTTTGGGGTTCCCCAACCCAAAGCAGTTCCAGCTCAATACGGCTAAGGAAGCGGAGGCCCTTGGATGTGAAAATCCTTTTGATTATCCACATTCGAAGGTAGGTTCCCCCTTGCTTGCCCCGCATTGCTTGACGACGCGGGTGCTAAATTATCAGATGATTGACCTCTCATTCCAGGGGACCATGCTGATTTCCCCGGAGAAGGTGTAGCTAAGTTCAGGTTCCGCTTGCGAGATGCAGTTCCAGGGAGGATTTTGGGTTTAGCAGTTTGTTTTTTCTCTCTTGGAGGTCGTCCTCTTCTTTTAGGAAGATCCGCAGTCTCACAGTCAATGTTTGGTCCAATAAGTAGGAGTGGAGTTGGGAGATTTGCTGATAGGGAGCAGACTGCAGCATGACGTGCAGTTGTTGCAGCTGCAATAATCTCAGCTGTTGTTTCCTCCATGATACCTTCAGCGTTAGTTTGGAGTACACGTTGGCGCCTTGCCTCACTCTCAACTGGGTCAGCGCAGTTGGTATATCTGATGGACACATCTACCAGATCTTGTATCACTTCACTCATTGTGGGGATTCTCGGGAGATGGGGGAAGTCACATTCAGCGAGGTTTCGTTCAATAGAACGTACTGGTGTGGTTTGTTGCCTGGGAGATAGGTGAGATGATGAATTAATCTCTGTCTCTGGGAGTAGTCCAGTAGGCTGTAGTTGAGACTGACTTTTCTCCCTCCACACCATATGTGTACCCGAAGTGGAGTTACGTTGTTGTATGTCATTACAAGGCTGATTGGGAGACCTTACACGGTGTTCAGGTAAGTCTCTAATAGATTTTGATGTCGTCTGAGTCGGCATCTCTCTGCTAGGAATCCCATTAAGGCTTGGTGTAATCTTGTTACGCAGGGGTTTTCCAGCATGATGTGAGAGGGAGACACGTTCTCCAAAAGGCCTACCATGTCTATCCAATCTTTTGTTGAAAGAGGTTCTCTCTGCAGAGCCTGACCTGGGGTTATGTGCAGAGTACGGTCTGTACCGTTGTTCTGTGTGTGGATCTTTGGAACGGTCCTCGTGGCGTGGGGGGGCAGGTGGAAGCACCGGTGACCTGCTTGTAGGGAGAGGATCGTCTTGCTTCAGCGGGAAATCTCTAGATAAGTGTGTGAGACGGTTACAAACAATACAGAGATTTTGGATCCCTTCATACTCTAGGGTAATAAGAGCCTCTTCTCCAGCGTCACATTCCAGGATAGTTTCTGTGATGATTGGTTCCAGACCATTGAGAGAGACTCGAATGCGGGCGAAGGTATGAGTGATTTCATACTCATCCAGGGTCCCTAGTTCGTGTCCAATGTTATAGATGACTTTCTCATGCCAGTAGTGTAGAGGGATGCCTTTGAGTGTGATCCAAAAGGGAATTTGCGATGGGAAAGAGGGGGAGATGATAGGTTCCCATCTTTGGAGGATGACCATCCAACCATTGAAGTGGTATGGCCTGTTGAAAAGGACACTGTGGATATCATCCTCTCTATCAAAGCGGAACTGGAAACATTCATGGCCAAGATCTGAAGCTGTAACTTTCCCTTTTAGTGTCCAGTTGCGTGGGAGTTCTTCCAAGAGAGCAGCAATATTTTGCCTCCTAGGGTTTGTGACTCTTCCGATGAGGGTTTGTTGGTTTCGTTGGATGAGAGCTGATGGATCAAAGCTAGGGGCTCTGATTCTCCTGAGAGAGGAGTTAGGGTGTGCCTGAGCTATCCCTTTTCCTTTTTCTGCTGCTGTGAGCTTCCGCGGAGTCATGTTGAAGAAACTTCCGAGGTGTGAAGATGCGAGCTAAGGGAGGGTGTTTGAGAGAGTTGTGTGGCGAAGAGGTCGGGAGCTTTGCTGTTTGAGAAAGAGGTAGCAGATTCTCTTAGTCTTAGAGGAGTTTTCGTCGACTCTATGCTGTAGCCTATTTAATAGGTTTGTTTTTTTTTTACAGAATCCACTCTATATAAGCGACGGATTTGTTTTGTTTTTCTCTTAAATTAATTATTTTTTGAGATTTTTTCCTTCAATTAATTATTTTTATAGCACTCTTAATCTGATATATGTATTTTTGTTGTAGTCTGGAAGTCCATCAATAAAATTTTACAGCACGTTTAATCTAATTTCTACCATGAAGACTTTTATTCGAATTTGAGACAATAAAATATTGCCCAACATAATTTAAGGAAAGTTTGTTTGGCTACTTAAGTATGCACGCATGCCAGTACATACATCTCTCTGTCCAGTCCCAGTCTCCACATTCTTCTTTATCGTTATCTTTTTTGTGTTTACTATTACTATCACAAAATTTCTTAATAATTTCGAAGCAGCACGTTTGCATACTATATTTGAAAATTTAGTATTTTTTTAAGACAAGTGCCGTAATTAATCAAGACGCGTCATGATAATCATATATTAAATGGGTTTTACACAATGAAGATCAAACATTATACTACCAATAATTCATGAAATAACTCCCTTTCAAAAAGACTAAAAACTCAAATAAAAAAACAGAATCTTCAGCCTAATCAAGCTTCCTTCTACTTAAAATATAACATAACAACAGAAAAGCAGAGGAGGACAACCCATATAAGATCATGACCGGTAAATATCGTCAACTCCATGGAAAAGACCGATCATGGGCGAGTAGGGTACACGCGTTTGCCGTCACCGGAATGTTCACAAATTCGTTTAGCAACGGAGCGACGGAGAAAAGAGAGAATGGATTTGAGGATTTTGGTCTTCACCAACTCTCTCTTCTTGGGGATCACAGTCCCTTGTTTCTTCTTGAACGACTGCACTTCCCCTGAGCTCATCATCTTCCTCAAACTACAGAGATCGATGTATCAGTGTGTTTATGAATGTATGTATGTATGTATGTATATGTGTATGTTGCTTTGCAGTTTTGTTGAGATGCAAAGATGTGAGAGGGGGGGGGGGGGGGTTATATAGAAAA